TGATTATTTTACTTCAATTGCTTGTATGAAAAGGTGACTGCTTTTTTTAAAGTAATATATAGTCAGGTCAGCATAAGCTTTTAGTGTAATACTTGTTGAACCTTTATAAAAGATGCTATATGGGCAGGTTTATTTTTCCCACAATTCTGTTTTACATGACTATGTTCATATAAGAACAGAAAGCTTGCCACACGTCTGGTTGTGTTTTAGATGATCAGAGGTATGGCAAACTTCTTAATAAGACAAACAAGAAGTTTTGTAAATGACATGTATTTTTTCATATTAGACATGTAATTTACAAACTCCTTCTCTCACAGTAGTCTTCTTAAGATCGCCCAAAGAAAATCTGCCAGCAGTTTTCATTCTGTAAATTTAATTTTCCAAAACAAAATGTAAAGACCCATTGCTTATTAATTAATTCACTCTTTCTTCCTATAAGTGCTTGACATTCCACTGAGTTTTAGTGTCTTTATTTCTTTCTGTTGGAAATGCCAGTTGCAGTAATAATTGAAGCATCATATGTTCATTTGTGTTTCAAATGTTATTTTCACAGGTGTGCTAGACATATCTTCCATTAGTCTTTGTAGATCCATGTCCCACTCTTCTTCACCCCACTCTGTGCCCAGGAGGCACACCTGGTTGGATCTCACCAACGCTGCTTTGCTCCTGGCTTTCAGTTTCATTCTACCAATGAGAATTAATGCAGACTCCCTGTAGGAGATTACAAGAATGGAAGAGAGTGAGTTTAGAGTAATTATCCCTTCCTTGAGGGATCAACATGAGCTAACTTTGTCCTTCAATTGGAGGTCTCAGTATTTGTCAGGTAGCTTTCTACAAAAACGGATGACTTTCTCTGAGTTCTGGGAAATGTTCCTTCTCCTTGGTTTTTTCAAGACTGTGGGTGTTAACCACTTACTACTATTTCTACTCATGGGTTATGCAACTATTCCTTATATTTTCAACATACCCTGCTTATACTCATTGTAAATTGACTAATAACTCTCCCCAAATTATCCAATTTGGAAATGCCATCTGTTTCTTTCTAGACCCTGATGGATAAAAGTCATTTTTAGTATTGTGTAGTCTTATCATTATTATTAATTTTTGCTATTTTTGTCACATTGGTAACTTAGAAAGTTACTTTGGAGGTATAATTATATTTTATTAATCAGAGTCTTCAGTGACTTGAAAACCTATCAAGTACCTTTCAAACCACTTTTTGTATAAGACTTGTATTATTTTCTTCTGTGGGTTTAAGATGGGAGATGTGCTTGTAAAACAGTCCACACGTTAGAGACCAAACATTTAATATCTGCTGCATGGTGGGATGTTTTCATTAGTGTTTTTCATCCTCCATGCTATTAAAAGCACTTTAATGGCCACATATCTCTTAAGACTGTGACGGAATTTGGAGGCTAGGTTTTTTACTAAATTCTGGAATCGGATTAAAAAATTCTAAAACCCTCATGGCTCAAACATACAAGTTTGTGTATATATGCAATAGCTTTCTTATGAAAAAAATAGAAAGTTGTATATTGGTGGCAATCTAGATAATACGTCTGGTAACTGGAGGCATAAAATTTAAAATACTAGATGCTTTATGATCTGAACAAAACAAATGCTTAGGCAAATTTATCATTCATATAAAGGTTGGTAATCCATCCTTTTATATTTGTGGAAGTGCTTCACTCACTTGCGAGGTTGTTACTTCAAGCTCTTTTGTTCCAGTCTCGTGCCTGACTTCTCCTCTTGCTACTCACTCCATCATTCAGCTTCTTCCCATTCCTCCCTTGTGTCAGTGATAGATAAATAAGGGATATGAAATTTTAACCTTTGGATATACACTTTCTGGCTCTATAAAATAGCTTAGGATTCATATGAAAATGTCCTGGTTGAAAAATTGATGCAGGACTTAGATACGGATCACAACAAAGTGCCAGGACAGCTGATGCTGCTTGTGTTTCAGGTTTTGACCTCTGTGTCACTGACTTATGGTTGGTCCATTTCTGACAGTCCCTGGTTATGTAACAATAGTGGCCTACCTGGAAGTCTAGAGTCACAAGTCTTAAGACAACATTTAATGGAGCTCTTCTAGGAGCCTGAAAAGCAACCTTAGTTTTTGTATGAATACAAATTCCATACATCATGGAAAAAAAAAAAAAAAAAAAAACACCCACACAGCTGAATTGTTTCTAAATTACTAATCCTCTTGTTTCCACAGCAGCTTCAACTCATCTCCTTTCCCTTTATCATTTTCTGTCTCTCTTCATTATTTAGAGTATCCCCTTATTAAGCTACTTTTTAAAAACAAAATAAATTTAACTTGCACTCTAGATAATAATTTTAGAATTATTGTCCATTATTATTGGATTAATTATTGGACAAATTGTAGAAGGTAGGAAAATAAACGACCACTTAAGGGCCTATGGAAACATCAAATTTAATCTTTTCACACATCCACTTTCTTGGATCTAAGAGGAAATAAATAGAAATGTCACTGGAGAATTATTATTTCATATAGTATTTTAACTAACAAATAAAAAGTTTGCCAGAATGCCTCGGTCCAAATCCCAATTATACCACTTGCAGTGCAAGCCTAGGTCAGTTACTTATCCATTAACAAGTTGTTTATGCATCTGTAGAATGCTGATAATAGTACCGTCCTCTCAATACTGCTGCAAGAATTAAAAAGTAAATGGGATAAAGTGTTTAGCATGGAACATAATGTGCTGTACAAATGGGAGCATAACTAATCTTGAATTTTATGTGAACTTTATGTCTTGTCTGTATACAGCCTGTATGCCCGTACATTAAAGATACAGCTGTTAGAAGTTCTGAAGGCATTTATTTTAAATATAAAAATAGTTTCAGAAATATGCTATAAAATATTTATCAATAAAATTAAAACCACCCCCTTTAGATCTCACCTGTGGGTAGTGGGAGAGGTGTGAGGCCCCGATAAGGATAAGAGCAGTGTAGAACAGGATGTCTGCCTCAGACTTTCACCTGGATGGTACAACCAAAGCCTCAGTGAACCTTGGTCACTTCTAGAAAAGTCTTAATAAATTGGCAATACATAATGAAAATATGTGTCTATCCTGAACAGGTGGAGGAAATGAAGACATGAAAAAGCAGATACATCACAAGCCAATAATAATAACAAGGCTGGGCACGGTGGCTCACGCCTGTAATCACAACACTTTGGGAGGCCGAGGCAGGTGGATCACCGGAGGTCAGGAGTTCAAGACCAGCCTGACCAACATGGAGAAAGCCTGTCTCTACTAAAAATACAAAATTAGCTAGGCATGGTGGCACACACCTGTTATCCCAGCCACTAGGGAAGCTGAGGCAGGAGAATAACTTGAACTTGGGAGGCGGAGATTGTGGTGAGCTAAGATTGCGCCATTGCACTGCAGCCTGGGCAACCAGACTGAAACTCCATCTCAAAATAATAATAATAATAACAATAACAAGAAACAACAAATAAGCACAACAATAAATTTGCAGTCAGATTGTATGTGGTTCAAACTATAAATCAGTTCACTACCCACAGTCTATGTAACCTTGAGCCAGTTGATTCACGTTTCAGTGTCTCATGTTATTCTTTCACTGGGTTTTTAATAGTTAGAAATATTATACATACAGGGTTCAGTAGGATTTCTGGAACATATTTCCATAAAAATGGAATATTTAACCATTCAACTTCCATGAAAAAACCCAATTCTCCATTACACATAGAGGCCTTTCCAAATAAATATGCAATGTAAGTTAAAACATCGTGTGTGCTATGCAATTTGCTATGCAAATACTCCAGTTCCAATTCTATCTACTGCACTCAAACTTCTTTTAGATAGAAATCCTGGTGACTCACTGTCCATAAATAGTTATTACTGCTAATTAAATCAGTTTGGGGGTAAGTGTACATGTATTACTCTGCCACCATTACTTAATAAACTGTTTTTCAATGGAAGGGACTATATTTCCATTACATTTATTCTCTTTAACACAATACCTGCCTAGAATATCACAGATGTTTCATAAATTAAGCAGGATTATTTATAATTCTACATGTTGGTTTCAGAGACATATTAGCATAGTAATTCTTGAGAATAGTAGGCAGCAAGTATCTGACAATTTACATGCCATTTTATTTTATTTTTATTGTTTTTGTTTTTTAAGACAGGGTCTTGCTTTGTCACCCAGGCTGAATACAGTGCATGGTTCACTGCATTCACCACCTCCCAGGTTAAAGTGATTCTCCCACCTTAGCCTCACAAGTAATTAGGACTACAGGACACACGCCACCTTTTTTAAAACTTTTTATTTTTTGTGGAGGCGAGGTTTTGCTGTCTTGTCCAGGCTGGTTTTGAACTCCTGGCTTCAAGTAATTTTCCTTAGCCTCCTAAAGTGCTGGGATTATAAGCATGAGCCATTGCACCCAACCAACACATTTATTCATGAATAATTTATTTGATTTTATTTTTATAGAAAAAAGCCACATCTGTTTTTAAAATGTGTCTAAATTAGAAGTCACAAATGTAAAACACCATTGACTGGATTTTGGTCATAATATATTGTAATTTGGATTTAATATACAATATTATCAACTCTACCCTATGGTACTATTTATGAATGTTTGGGAGCAGTATTGGATTAATCAGAGGCAATCATATCTTGACCTAGGATGATGAGCTGAAATTTTAAAAAGACTGCAAGACTTTAAAAAGACAGTGGCCTGACGTGCTCTAAAAGTGTAACCTGAAATTCTAGCATTGTAAGCTATACTGCACCTATATTAGTTGAAGCAAAGGTATTATCTTTTGTATATTCGTGCTTCTTTGGGTTTATAAAGTGTTTCTATGACTTCTACCACCCAGATGCAACAATCTAAAGAAGCTGAATTTTAATCTCAGTGGAAATTACTGAGATCCAATATATGTACATATTACAACAGAAAAGACTATTAACTTTTAATAGTCTTAGTGATCTAAGAGTTGGACCTTAGTGATCAAGTGGCACCTACTGACATTGAAGAAGGGATGAGAGTGGGTGTGGACAGAAATAAATATCAAATACACATTCCATTGCCTCCTAAGATTGACCCAACAGTTACCATGATGCAGGTGGAGGAAAAACCTGATGTCACATACAGTGATGTTGGTGGCTGTAAGGAACAGATTGAGAAATTGCGAGAAGTAGTTGAAAACCCATTACTTCATCCAGAGAGGTTTGTGAACCTTGGCATTGAGCCTCCCAAAGGTGTGCTGCTCTTTGGTCCACCTGGTACAGGCAAGACACTCTGTGCACGGGCAGTTGCCAACCGGACTGATGCATGCTTCATTCGAGTTATTGGATCTGAACTTGTACAGAAATATGTCGGTGAGGGGGCTCGAATGGTTCGTGAGCTCTTTGAAATGGCCAGAACAAAAAAAGCCTGCCTTATCTTCTTTGATGAAATTGATGCTATTGGAGGGGCTCGGTTTGATGATGGTGCTGGAGGTGACAATGAAGTGCAGAGAACAATGTTGGAACTGATCAATCAGCTTGATGGTTTTGATCCTCGAGGCAATATTAAAGTGCTAATGGCCACTAACAGACCTGATACTTTGGATCCAGCACTGATGAGGCCAGGGAGATTGGATAGAAAAATTGAATTTAGCTTGCCAGATCTGGAGGGTCGGACCCACATCTTCAAGATTCACGCACTCTATGGGGTGAACAAAAATCAACACTTCCTAGATATCTAGTTATAATAAATATAGTTGAGGAAGGGGGCAACTTACTTTCTAAAATTTTTGACAAACATAAAAAATGTAAAGAACAGAATTTTCATCAAGATAATGCATAAAGATGGATATGTGCTGTCATCAAAATATTGGTGGTCCAAAATAAAGCAGTATAAGTAAATTATTGTTTACTACCAGGAAAATCCATATGCTTATGTAACTAGCTTCTGAAAGTCCTTACGGAAGAACAAAATTGAACTTTTATGATGGTTCTTTACTTGGCAACATGTTCTAGGAGGCATCTTAAATCTGATAAATGTGATTCAATTTATGTTTTTTAAAAAACAACAAAACAAGTATTCAATATATGTGATTATTCAGATTCAGTCCTAATTTTAAAAATAAATTTCAGACTACAAAATACACAATGTTATGTTTATTTGTACTGAGTAACTTGCAAATTGCCTCTTGAGTATAGGCAAGGGTCATTTCATGGCTTTCCAGATGATAATATTGACATTCTTATATGTCGATGCTAGACAGAATTACAGTTAAGTTAGAATTAGACATCCTGCAAACCTGACAAAGTCATTATTCCTATAAAACATAAACAGAAGCTCAACTTATAAAAAGGTATAGAGAATTAATAATGTTAAATTATTATTAATATACTCCTTTTGCTGAGGAGTCCAGAGGACATACTGATGTGTTTGTTTTTGCAGTGGTGTTGACTCATTTGCAGGATAGCAGCTCCACACCCGTGACTGGTCCTTCAGGGACCAGTGGGAAAATCACCTGTGGGTGGCTGGTAGGGGTGGAATGCAGCCATGTGCAAAACAGTCTCACCTAGCAATCAAAAAGCACACGGAACTGTCAAAGTTTGAGTTGGTTGTTGAACAACAACGCTAATTAACTCCACAAACCATTACAAATCTAGAAATATTTTATTTGTAGTTATTCCAAATAGGCAAATTAGTAATCTTCTTACAGAGGTTATTGGCCACATAAGAATAAACATTTTAGTTTAACAATATATATTAATTTACAATGTCTGTAGAAAATTATAAATGTTATAGAGTGGCATAACATTATAGTTTATTTGAGTAAGAAGTTCAAATTTCAAGAATTACAAGAAGGCATGATAAAAATAGTGGCACATCCCAGGCAATGTGGTGAAACCCCATCTCCATGAAAAATACAAAAAAGTTAACTGGGTGTGGTGGCATGTGCCTGTAGTCCCAGCTACTCAGGAGGCTAACGTGGGAGGATGGCTTGAGTCCAGGAGGTGGAAACTGAAGTGAGCTATGATTGTGCCGCTGCACTCCAGCTTGTGAGACAAAGTGAGACACTGTCTCAAAAAAAATAATAATAATAATAGTGACGTAAAAAGAAAATAGGAACAAAAACTATGGTAATACAGAAAGTAATGAATTCAAGTGATAATGACTTATATATTTTCCATTCAATAAGTACTTCAAAATTAATTTAAAAATTAACACTGTAGCTTTTCATAGTCAATGGTTATAAAAGAGTAAAGAACAGCATGCCAGGGCACAGATCTCTTCAGAAAGCCCCAAGTTCCAGTGTTGGATCTATTATTTGTCAATGAGCTCTGCAATCTTGGAAAAGTTATTTAACCTTTCTTGCCTGTTTATCTTTAGGTACCTTTTGTGAAAGAATTAAATGAGGTATTTTATGTAATTTTTTTTAGTCCAACATAGCAGTTAATGTTTGTTTTTGCTAATTTTTATTAAACAACCATGTTTAGGATGAAATAATTTTTTTATGGTTTCCAGTCATCTAATAATGTAAAATTGTAATAAATTGATGAGAAATGTAAGCTACTACTTATCTTTACCTTTTTTTCTTTTTAGTCTTTTTTAGAACAGTTTTGGGTATAGAGATTTCCCTTATATCCCCCATCCTGACATATACGCAGCCTCCCTCACTATCAAAATTTTGTCCCATTTGTTACAATTCATGAATGTACACTGACACATTATCACCCAAAGTCTGTAGCATTCACTTGTGTTCTATATTCTACTGGCTTTGACAAATGTATGATAACACGTACCCACATTGTAGTATCATACTGTTAATAGTTTGACTTTCCTAAAAATCTGCTGTGCTCTGCCTATTCATCCCTCTCTCCCCCAACCTCTGGCAGCCACTGATTCTTTTACTGTATGCATAGTTTTGTCTTTTTAAGCATGTCATATAGTTGAAATAAGAAGGATGTAGTCTTTTCAGATTGACTTCTTTCACTTAGTAATACGCATTTAAGTCTTCTACATGTTTTTCATGGCTCAACAGATCTTTTTTTAGGTACTTAATATTGCATTGTCTGGATGTGCCACATTTATTTATTTATTCACCTAGTGAAAGACAGCTTGTTGTTCTTAAAGCTCTGACAGTTATCAACAAAGCTGCTACATACATTCATGGTAGGTTTTTATTAGGGATACATTTTCAATTCATTTGGTTGAATCCCAAGAATAGCACAATTACTGGACTGTAGAAGAGTAGGTTTAGTAAGAAACTCACAAACTGTCTTCTAAATTGGCTGTACCATTTGGGGTTTCCACCAGCAATAAATGAGAGTTCCTGTTACTCCACATCCTTGCTACATTTGGTGTTGTTAGTGTTTTGGGTTTGGCCATTTTAATAGATGGATACTGATATTGTTTTAATTTGTAATTTCCTAATGACATGAAATGTCAAACATCTCTTCACATGCTTCTTTGCCATCTATTAATGTCTTTGGCCCATTTTTAAATCAATTTATTCATTTTCTTATTGTTGAGTTTTAAGAGTTCTCTGTGCATTTTGGGTGACAGTCCTTTATAGTTATTTATTTTGCAAATATTTTCTCTGAGGTTGTGACCTATCTTCTCATTATCTTGACAGTGTCTTCTGCAGAGAAGTTTTAAATTTTAATGAAGTCCAGTTTGTCTTTTTTTCTTTCATGAATCATGCTTTTGGTATTATATCTAGAGAGTCATCACCAAACCCAAGGCCATTTACATTTTCTTCCATTTTAGCCTGTAAAAATAGTGGCTGTAATTATCCTGTAAAAAAAATAATTTCATGGTTTTGTGTTTCACATGTAGGTCTTTGATCAATCTTAAGTTTTATGAAAGGAGTAGGATTTCCATCTAGATTTTTGGGGGAAACCTGAGGGTTTATAGTTATGCTTGCACCATTCATTGAAAAGGTATTTTCATTTTTGCTTTCTTTGAGACAGGGTCTCACTCTGTTGCCCAGGCTGGAGGGCAGTAGCACAATCACAGCCCATTGCAGTCTCCTGAGCTCAAGTGATCCCCGCAGTTCAGCTTCCCAAGTATCTGGGACTGCAGGTGCACGCCATCATGCCCAGCTATCTTTATATTTATTTTTTTACTTTTTTATGTGGATAAGGTTTTACCATGTTATCCAGGCTGGTCTTAAACTTCTGGGTTCAAGTGATCCTCCTGCTTGGGCCTCCCAAAGTGCTGGGATTACAAGCAAGAAAATACTGTCTTTGCTCCATTTTATTTCCTTTGCTCCTTTGTCAAATCTCTGCAGGCTTATTTATGTGGATCTGTTTCTGGGCCCTCGGTTTTGTTTCATTGATCTATTTGTCTGCATTTTTACAATACCACACTGTCTTGATTGCTGTAGCTATAATAGGAAGCCCTAGTGTCAGGTAATGTTTATTCTTCTTCAATATTATGTTGAATGAATATTTTGTTGAAAATTTTTAGAACCAGTTTGTTGATATCTAAAAAATAACTTTCTGGGATAGTGATTGGATTATATTTAAGCTATAGATCAATTTGGGAAAAACTAACAATATCAAGTTTTCTCTTCATGCACATGGAATATCTCTATTTATTTTGTTCTTCTTTGATTTATTTTTGTAGTTTTGTGGGATTTTTTTTTTTCACATAGACCTTCCTCCCGCTTACTTTTGTCGTATTTACACTTAAGTCTTTCATGATTTTGGGTGCTAATATAAAAGGTGTTGTGGTTTCAATTTCAAATTTGACTTGTTCATTACTGGTATATAGGAGAGTAATTGACTTATATATATTAACCTTGTATCCTGAGACCTCACAATAACCACTTCTTAGCTTTAGCCATTTTGGTTTAGTAGATCATTTCAGATTTTCTACATAGACAATCATGTTTTGTGAATAAAGGCAGGTTTATTTCTTGTTTCCTGACCAACATGCATTTTGTTATCTTGTTTCCTTTTCTTTTCTTTTCTTTTCTTTTCTTTTTTTTCTTTTTTTTTCTTTTTTTTTTTTTTTTGCGTTAGCTAGGGCTTTCAGTATAATGTCGAAAAGCAATGGTGAGAGTGACATCCTTGCCATGTTCCTTATCTTAGCAGGAAAGAGCTGAATTTCTCACCATTAAGTATAAAGTTAGCTTTATCCCATGAGGAAGTTTTCTTCTATTTCTAGTTTTCTGGGAATTTTTATCATGAATGGCTATTAGATTTTGTCAATTTTTTTCTGCAACTATTGATATGATCACATAATTTATATTTTTTAATCTGTTTTTGTTTTTGTGGTGGACTGTATTAATTAATTCCTTGAATGTTGAACTAGCCTTGCATACCTGAGATAAATCCCACTGGTCAGGGCATATAATTCTTTTTACACATTATTTAATTCAATCTGTTCATATTTTGATAAAGATTCCTCCATCTGTGTTCCAGGTTTGTAGTTTTCTTTTTTTCTTTCAATGCCTTTGTCTGATTTGGGTTTTAGGGTAATATTGGCCTCATTGAATGAGTTTGGACGTGTACACTCTATTTCTATTTCTTGGAAGAGATTGCACAGAATTCTTAAAATTTCTTTTTTAAAAGTACAGTTCACCAGTTCACTCATCAGCATCTGGTGCTTTCTGTCTTGGAAGGTTATTTACCATTCATTTAATTTATCTAATAGAGATAAGCCTACTCAGATTTTTTGCTTAATGTCTTGGTAAGTTATTAACTATTGACTCAACTTATTTGATATAAGCCTACTCCAATT